CGAACGTCTCCTTGCTACCGCGATCTCGCCCACAGGAAGCTGCGACCGGGTGGCAGCAGGGAAAATGGCCACGGATCTGGTTCATAACCCGAGGCGGAGTTCGCAAACGGCGGTAAATTTTTGCGGCCAGAGCTGGTCGTAACCCGAAAAGTTCGTTAACAGAGGCGTTCGTAACCCGAGGTACCACTGTAGTTATGGGTAGGTGGCAAGGTGTGCTGTGTTAATGTCAGTGATAATACTCTTGATGGCTTGAAATCCATGTTTGTGAGGGATGTTGGAGTATAATGCCTCAACATCCACAAAATGGTGTGTTTAGAATTCATATAGAGCATTCTATTTTCATTTATTTTGAGATTTGGATTTCACCCTTCTAATGCATATGCATGAGGACAGTTTACAGTTAACTGTTGTAAAGTGACACTTCATAATAAAAGAACAATGTGAAATAGAGGAAGATTCAGCTGATCAAATAATATTCAGCCACATAAAAACTTTTATCTATCTGGCAAAGCATAAAAGTCTTCAACAACAGATGGTTTTTTAATTGAATTTATTTGTTTGTTTATTCCCATTTATAGAGCCACCCATCTCAGATACACATCTCTGGACAGCTTATAACAGTTAAAAACAATATAAAAAAGCAGAATACAATATAAAAAAATATTAAAAGCATATAAAGCTATATAAAAATCATATAACACAATCTGCAGCTAAGGTATAAAAACAGTCAACAACACTCAATCATTGTACAGCCTCTACCGCATACTTGGATCCCCAAGCCTGGTGGGAAAGCCACATTTTTAAGGCCTTATGAAAGGCCAGTAGGATCAGGGACAATCTGATCTTGGGGGATGATGTTCCAAAGGGTGAACACCCTTCCTGGGCCCCACCAGATTGCATTCCCTAGTAGACAGGACCTGGAGCATGCCTCTCCTGCTGGATCTAATGGGATGGGTAGATGTAACGAGGGAGAGGCAGTCCCTCAAAAAACCCAGTCCCATTCCATGAAGGGCTTTAGAGGTCATCACCAGCACTTTGAATTGAACCTGGAAGCATATTATTTCTGTACAGGTAGTCCTCGACTTACAACCATTCATTTAATGACCATTCGAAGTTACAGTGGCGCTGAAAAAAGTGACTTATGACTGGTCCTTGCATTTACGACCATCACAACATCCTCAAAGTCACGTGTTAAAAATTCGGGCACTTGGCAACTGCCATGTATTTACGATGGTTGCAGCATCCCAGGGTCATGTGATTGGCATTTACAACCTTCTCAGGGGGCTTTGCTTAACAACCGCATGATTTGCTTAACGATCATAGCAAAAAGATCATAAAATTGGGTGCAACTCGCTTAACAGCTAAATCGCTTAGCAACAAACATTCCATTCCCAATTGTGGTTGTAAGTTGAGGACTACCTGTACTTTGCCCTGAGTCACATGTTGATTGGGTGGCTATATAAATGAATGTAATTAATTCTTTTTATGTAAGATGTTCATGTATATCCCCTCCTCATTTAGTGACTGAGTTCTGTTCCAACAACCTGGTAGTTAAGTGAAATAGTCACTAATTAATACATGACACAGAGAGAGACACTGCAAAGATCACTGGTTGCCGCTGTCTCATTCAGATAAAGTTCTCTTGTATAGCTACACCAGTGTTACTCTCACTTCGATGTGCATTGTTGTCAGGAACATGAAATTTGGTTGTAAATGTGTGCATTGGTCAGAAAATTTTTTTTTATTTCCATCATATTTGTGAATGGTCACTAACTGAGGTAGTTGCTAAACAAGGAGCAGGTGTAATAGTTCTAAAATTATGTCTTGGATCTATTGTAGGTAAGCAAATACCAATAATAATTTGGGCTTCTTTTCCTCATCTTTTCCTCCAAATTAATATAAATTTGAAAGCAAAAATATTCCTTTTCAAACACAAAAACAATACACATTTCGGTCTTTATCCTTAGTCTCTATAATTTTTACCAACTTTCATAGAAGTAGGGGAGCTGCTAGACAGTCTTCTGAGATTAATGTTTTTATCATTTGATTGTAGCAGGGATTGGCAGTGTGATGCCCAGAAACCCTTGTGGGTGGCATCTGTAGGTTCCCCAAATTAATTAAATGTCTTAATTTAAAGTGAAAATGCTAAATTCTTGTAAAGTTGCTAAATTTTGTGAAATTCTGGTATTCTTGCTTGAAATCTTATGAGAGCTCAGTGGTAAGAACGTTTAATTCTCATTTGATGCTCTTTTGAGATTTGTAGCATTTTTTAAAATGCAAAACTTGCCAACTGGACGATAGTGTTTCAGTGCAATATATGATAGTTAATAAGTACTGTTTCTACCACAAGGTCGTATCCGTGTGCATGGAATTGGAGGAGGAAGAAAGCAATGCTATCGTATGATTGATTTCCAAAGGCTGCGTTATCCAGATCCAGCTGAGCCTGGTCCATTTGAGGAAAAAGTGCTTTTGGTCCGATATGATCCATGTAGGTAAGCAACAGACAATTGGATTGACAAGCAGGTTGAAGGTTTCTTAAGTTTCAATTTGATCTTAGTTTTGTAAGTGCTATTGCTTGACAGTAACAACCAAACATAAGGAAGGTAACTGTCGACTCAGAGCAAACTTGATATCCTTAAAAATATATAGAACTATTAGCATGGAAAAGCCCTGGAGAAAAGATAATCCCCTAAAAAGAACCCTATCAAGATTGAGCTTGCTAAGTAACATTGGAATGGTAACTGCTTGTTGTGAAGAAAAGAACTAAAAAACTAATGAAATGGAACATCAGGAAAAGGCAGCTGGTAGAAGACACATGTACTGTAGTTTAAAAACAGGGAGAGACTGCTATTGCGCTGTCTAAATAGGTCATTCCCCAGTTCACATCAAGAAGCTATTTTTCATTGTCTTCAGGAATGGAAGTCAGAGCAGTCTATATAAATCAAAGATCTTGATATAACTGGGATTGGGCACCAGCTGCCCCTCCAAAATCCTACTGAGAACCAAAATCCCACTGGACCTGCTTGATTGGCCCAGAATGCTGATAGATTTCCATCTCTGAACAGTAGTACAACAAAATGTTTTGGCATCTCTCTTGCCCAGTTTGCTTTACTCTTTATTCTGAGTGAGGCCAATACACTGAGTTGTCTATCTTTTATTGATTTTGTTTGTTCTCCATTAAAGATCAGGTCATATAGCTCTAGTGGCTGGAGGGAAGCGGAAACGCTGGATCATTGCAACCGAAAACATGGTGGCTGGTGACACCATCAAAACTTCAGGAAAAATAGAAAGGATGACAGGTAAATATTTGATATGCTATGTAAGCTACCAAAGAAAAGCTGGATGGGAATGGCTGGGTTTCAAGATATATTACTTTCTCTAAAATGTTACTAAGATACTCCCAATTTATTATGATGATCTTATATGGTAACCTAAAGCTAAGAGCAAAGAAGAGTTTATTTTGAGACAAGCTTTTGGCATCACATTGCAAGCTGATTGTCAGTATAATATTAAAGGATTGGCTATAGTCTACTTTTCTAAGGACTGATGCTGTAGACCAATAGAAGAGAATATATATAGCTCAGGACTGAACCGATGGAGTCCTTGGTGCTCTCTGAGCTTGGTTGTTTGCAGATGTTTCATTACCCAATTACGTAACATCATCAGTGCAAATGAGTGTGGGGTTTGCTCACTAATTATATACAAGTGGTCCTCGACTTACGACAGTTGGGACTGGAATTTCCATTGCTAAGTGAGGTGGTCGTAAAGCATGACCACATTGCTTAGTGATGGCAATCCCTGCAGTCCCAGTTGTCATCGTTAACTGAATTCCATGGTTGTTAGACAAGGCAATTTTCTGTCAGCTTTCCACAACCAAAGTCAGTGGGGAAGCTGGCAGGAAGTTGCAAGTCCCAAGCTGGCAGGCAGGTAGGTGGCTGTTGCCGGGTGGGGGAGTGAGAGGGTGCATGGAGGATCGAGGAGGGGGTGTGGCAGTGTGCGAGGCACCACGTGGGTCAGGGAGGGTGCACAAGGGTGTGTCGCAGTGCACAGGTCAGGGAGGGTGCACGGGGTTCAGGCATGGGTTGGGGAGGGGATGCAGGGGTGTGGCATGGGACTAACAGTTTCCCAGTTGAAACTGTGGTTGAGTCTGTTCATGTGTTGTGAGATTAAGT